CCCGCCCAGCCCAAGGGGAAGTCAAGCACCTCCTGGGTCCATATCACTGTGCCCACCATGCTCTGCTGTCCCTGCCCACCCCCTCCTGCTGAGCCGTCTCTTCTCCGACCCCCCAGGGCCCTGCAGGGGTGGAGGCTGGGGTTCCAGAACTGTCCAGCTGTCTGGCAGCAGATGCCACTCACCAGCAACAACCTCTCACCCTGCCAGCCAAGGTCTCTGCCACAGGCGGGGGCCTGACGCCAGGGTCTCCAGCTGGGGGTACTCCTCCCCGCAGTGTGCTGGGCAACTCTCCTCTCTCCTGTGAGGAGCTGTTGGTGGCTGTAAGAGAGGTGAGCATGGTCAGGAGGACCCAGGGAGAGCCCACCCGGAGAGCCTCGTCCTGAGCCCAGAGGGAGGACCAGGACCTCACAAGCATCTTCGCTCACAGAAGCTCTTTGAAGCCCAGAGTATTTTGTCTCATGAGCCCATTTTGCAGATGAGTATAAAGAGTGGGCCCAGAATGGCAAAGCAGTAATGCATGCAATAGGGGCTTCCCCGCTGGCTCAGTCAGTAAAGAATCCGCCTGCAATGCAGGAGACCTGGGTTTGATCCCTGGATCAGGAAGATCCCCTGAAGAAGGAAATGGCTACCCACTTCAGCATTCTTGCCTGGAGAATCCCATGGACAGAGGAGCCTGGCAGGCTGCGGTCCATGGGGTTGCAAGAGTCAGAAAAAACTTAGTGACTAAACCAACATGCATGCAATAAGGGGCTGGTCTGTGACTCAAGCCCAAATCCTCCCCTCTCTGTCTTGTGCTTCCAGGGTTTGGGCCTTTGGGTCCCACCTTTTCTGTGCTCCCTAGACCTCTGGACCTTGAGCCTGCCACCTCAAGGCCTTGGCAGCAGCCCCCTCCCACGATGTCCCTGAGCAGCTCACCTAGGGCAGCCAAAGAGCAGCAGCAGGAGCCTCAGGCCTCTGACAAACGGCCCTCCACCCAGCAAGCAAGAGTTTCCTTGATCGAAGCTCACCAGAGCCCCTGGGTGCTCCCTGGGTGGGTGCATGCCTGCAGCGGGGGGATAACATGGAGACCACAGCACCCTGGGGCTGGGCCCAGAACAGCAATGCTTCCCACACCCCCAGGGGATTAGGAGGGGCTCAGAACCAATCCAGGGCTCACGGTTGCCACCACTGCTGAGCAGTAGGACCCTGGGGAAGAAGATGCCCACATCCTAACCCTGGCCAGGGGGATAGCACTTGCTAGCCTGCTGATTTGGGGATGAGGGGGCTATCCCAGAGCAGCGAGGGGGGCCTGATATAATCATGCTGTGTGCTTCGTGTGCTCAGTCGTGCCCGCCAGGCTGCTCTGTCCGTGGGATTCTCCAGGCAACAGTACTAGAGTGGGTTGCCATTTCCTTCTCCAGGGGATCTTCCCAACCCAGGGACTGAACCTGCGTCTCCTGTGGCTCTCGCGTTGGCAGGCAGATTCTTGAGCCACCTGAGAAGACTGATGGAATCATGAGGGTCCTTTTGAAGGACTGGACCTGTTAAGGCTGGGGCCTCAGGGCAGAGACGAGAGGGAACAGGTGAGGTGGGGGCCAGCACCCAGCCAATCCTGCAGTGGCACCAGCATCCCCAGGGAGGATGGGTACCTCCCCAACAAGGCCTTTTTTTTAATGAATGAAGTGACTTTACTGAAACACTCTGTTATACATTGATGTAGTTGCATGCGTTTTTCTTCTGCTCTCATGGAATGTGGCTCTTTGATCCGTACACAGATGCCTTCCTCGAGGACAGTGTCCCGACCCCAGCGAACCATTCCTTGCAGGCATTTCTCTCACCCAGAACCTCACAGGTCTATGACACACGCACCCCCAGCACAGCCCCGGAAGGGGCACCTGACCCAAGAAAGGCCAGCTACCCTTGTCTGGGCTCCTGGGCCCCTGGGCGTGGCTCAGGAGCGGCTGCTGGGTCCCTGAGGTCTGGGTGTGTCAGGAAGCTGGTCTGGTGGGATGACCCAGCCCACCTGCCAGCAGCAGGAAGGATGTGGGTGGGGTGGGGGGTTGGGGGTTGGGAACCAGAACCTGGACAGTGTCCTGGAGCTCCCCTGGGGACTAGCTTTATCTGTCACCTTGGTGGTCCCTTGTCCCCAGTGGGCAGGAATCACCACCCAGAATCCTGAGTTGTACCCCTGGGGACATGCCCTGGGGACCCATCTACCTCTCTGCATTTGGGGAGCAAGAGCTAATATTCTTAGTTTCCCAGTGAAATTCCCTCCCAGAAAGTCTGTTCTAACTCTGATGAGATGGGTGGGGGGAGGAGTTGAGGATTCCAGACAGAAGGGTCTCCTTAGCTTCGGGCAGGCTGTTGCCTAAAGGTTCAGAAGCTGGAGGTTTTTCCTCCACGTTGTGATCAAGGCATCGGATTCGAGCTGAGGCCGCTCATGAAAACCCTCCCCCTTTTATCGGTGTATTTGAGGAGCCAGGGCAGAGAGTGGCGGGTGGCCTCGAAAGACACTTCCCTCAGGCCTTGGTGGAACCAGGGCCATCCTTCTTGCCCCGCCCCGGGTACCCCTCCCCAGCCATCACCCGTGCGCCCCTCAGGTGGGGGCCGAGGCTGTTCTGCATCTCTTCGCCACAGGCTGCAGGTGTCACAGCACTGAACAAGTGCCCCAGGGGAGCCCAGGTCATCTAGATGGAGAGGAGTTGGGGTGTCTTCAGAGCTCTCCTGTCATCCATGGGACTGACAGTTTGTGATTTCTGCCCACTGAGGGCGTCTCCCCTATAAAAGATGGCCTTACCAGCATCTCCTTGTTTGCCTTGCGTCCCATTCCTGGGAGGGTCCCCTGAGTGGGAGTCAGTGCTGGGCTGCCTTGGCTGGTGCAGCTGGGAGCCCTTTCAAGGATGGGCAGGGAGAGTGTGGGGCCCCCCAAGGTGGAGGTGCTGCGGTTTCTGCCTTCCTGAATCTGTACTGGGCTCTTGCCAGTACAGATCTTGTCTTGCCTGGAGACACCCTGGCTTCACCTACTGCAGTAACCCCACGGCCTCTCCCTGCCCACGTGTGTCTTGTTTGCTACTGGCGGAGAGGCTCAAAGTCGCTACCTGCCCCCCTGACTCTCCAAGCCCAGCCTCGGGCATGCTGGTTCCACTCTGATGGTCCTCATGGGCCCCACAGCCCAGTGTAGAGGTCTCAGATTCCCAGTCTGTGCAGCCAAGCCCTCTCTGGCCCATCTCCACACCTTGGCTCAGCCTGCTCCTCTGCCTCATCTTCCGTCTGAGTCCTCTCTTCTCCAAGGCCCCTGATTCCACAAAACCCTCCTGCTGGCTCCCCGCTGAGCCCCAGGTTGCCTTGCAGGGTGGGCACGGTCACAGGACCACTTCCTGTCTCTCCCACTTCCTTCAGGCCAATGACCATGTTGTAATAGGACCTTAACTGCTCTTCCAGGAAGGGCAGGACACCCATCAGGATGCTACACAAGCAACCACACGGAGAAGAGTGGCTTCATCCCCAGGTTTTGGCTAAGCAAACTGAGGCTCAGAGTGAGTTCCTCCAAGTCCCAAAGCTCATCCCCCTCACATCCAGTGATGCACTTGGCTGGTTCTCTGAAGGCACATGTAGGTGATGAGAAGGACTGTGAGGTTTCCAGGTGACCTTGATATTCTCCCATTTAGTGCCATCAGCATCACCTCCCCACCCCCCAGGACTCCGTAAACCACAGGGCTGGGCTCCGCTCCATTCGAGAAGGTGGGGCAGGGCCTGGCAATAGGCTTTTCTAACAAGTTCCCAGGTGCTGTTGGTGCTGCTCGGTGGGGACCACATGTTGACCCTAAGCTGCTAGTTAATGATGTGTGTCACGCTGTGTGTCACTTTCTTTGCGGCCAGGCTGGTCGCCCTCCCCAAACCAAGCACACAGCTCACTGTGTCTCCTGCAGTCTCATCACCAGCCCCAGAACAGGGCCCAGCATTTGTTGACAGATGGATGGGTCATGTGACGCTGGGTGAGAGAGAGGGACAGCGACAGAAGGAGCTGTAACAGCCAAGCCTCCAGTGACCACATGAAGCCTCTGGACTGAGGGCGCCAGGCCAGAGCCGCCCGGACGCCATGTCCAGGCTGGGAATCCAGCCAGGCGCTGGGCCCCTGCTTCTGAAGTAGAGGCTGGTTTGGTCAGGCACGTTCTGTGGTTTCTCCTGACCCTCCCTCCTGAGGGCTCTTTAGGCCAGCAGTTCTCAACCCTGGCTGCTGTTGAGAGTCACCTGGACACCTGAGAAAGTCCCGATGCTGGGCTGCTGGCTGCACCTGGATCAATCGCATCAGAATTGCTGGCATAGAGCCAGCATCTGATAGGCTTCTCAGGTGTTCTCTGAGCCTGGGAACCACGGATTGAGAACCTCTGCAACCTTGGCACTGGAGGCTTGGGAATCTTGGACATGGCCCTGCAGGGGGCTAGGCAGGGGGCTCCTCTGCCTCCCTGGGGCCCACACTCTGCGTCTCAGGGTGCAGATCAGCTCTGAGTTCTGCCCCTTGCGGACTCATAATGTCTGTGGGTCTTAATGGCCTCACACGTGAAGGAGGAATTACAGGAGGCTGTGGGGGTGTCTGCAATCAGAGCCTGGCAAGTCCCATCTGCAGATTTGCTTTCACTGCGGCCAGGCCTTTCCCTGACAGACCAAGGTCTCTGAACTTTTACAAGGGTACTCTGCACAGTAAACAACTCCTGAGCACCCCCAATGAACGCGTATTTATAAAGCACATTCATGGGTCGCTATGCTAATATATTATGTATATTATAAAACTTTAACGAAACTAGAAAACTTTAAAGAACAGAGATAAAAATATAAATACAAGTTCCCATATTCTCTTCCTGCTCCCCCTGGGTGTATGTGCCCCACCTTGCGGTACCTTGCTGGAGGGTCCACTGAGAGGGAACCAGGGATCAGGAGCGTGGGGCGAGGGGGCAAGAGGTGGGGGGCTGCACGTGGGCGCCAGGCAAAGTTCTCATTGGTGGTGGTGGAGGGAGTCGGTGCTACAGCTCCGAACCGCTGGGGAAGCGGAATCTATGGGCGGGGACCGAAACACCGCGCAACCCGGCGGGATCTTCAAGGGACGGTCCTGGCCTGCGCGGCCTGGGTCCCGGAGAGCCGGGGCACGGAAATCCGGGGCAGAAGGATCTCGGGCGCGATCCTCGGGACACAGGGGACTCAGGCCCCAGAGAATCGCCGGAGCTCGGCTCCGATAGCAGCCGCGACAGGTCATCCACCAGGTGCCACTTCTCCTGGACTTGCTGAGGTGGAGGCAGGGGGCGAGCAGGCCGGTTAGGAGCTGCACCTCCTCTCACCCGCAGGCGGGCGGGGGAAGATGCAGCCGAGCTCGCAGTAGCCGCTCTGAGGCCCCGCCCCAACCGGAGCTCGCCCTGCTTCCCCGCCCCGCTGCGGCCTCGCCCCACTAATCTCCAGCCGTAGACTCCGCCCCGTCCAGGTCCCGCCCCTGCCCGCCCACGTACGGTAGAGACCACGCCCACCAAGACACCACCCCTCAAGACCACGCCCATCAAATAACACCCCTTCTTAAGACCACGCCCGCCGGACACAGTCCTACCTTAAAGTCACGCCCACCAGATCCCGCCCCGGCCTGAGACCACGCCCCCACCATAGTCCCGCCTCCTCGACGTCAGGCTAAACCCACACTCCTATTAAGCCGGGTCTCCAGGCCTAAAGCCACATTCCAGTCTCCTGGCTCCTCCTGGCATGAGGCCAAGACTTAGGCGCCGGTTCCCTCTCTCCATCTTCCCCGCTTTTATCGGCGTCCCGCGGCCCCAACAGGGGCTCGCCAGCAGTCCCCGTGGCCCCTCCCCAGTCCTGCGGACACTTACCCACACCAGCTGCTTCCGCAGTCTCCGGATGGCTCTGGCACTGGCCTGGGACTGGGAGACGCACACGGTCAGGACAAGGCTTTGGAGAGAAGGGGAGGCAAAGTTTGTCAGCCCCCGACTTCCTCCTTCCCTGCCTCAGTCTCTCAGAAAACACCCCCCGGGGAGCCTCTCTCTTCCAGGACCCCAGACACGGCTTTCTCTCTCATCTCCTTCCTCCCGCGGGTCGCTCAGCCCCTCTCCTCCTCATGGCAGGCTCACAGCGCGTCTGCGCCAGGCCCCGTACTGCCCCAGTGGTCACTTCAGGGGCTTTTACAGGTGAGGATGTGAGGAGGCTTGCCCGGAGCACCGGGGAACCTCCAGGCCACCAGACCTGACCCCTCTCCATCCCTGGCTCTCCTTGTCTGGTTCCTGGATCCCCTGAGACTGTCTGGGGCTCCCATGGACGAAAGGACCCTCCCCTCCCAGGTACCCGTTCCCTTGGCCCCCCGCTGCCCTGAAAGTCACCTGAGCAGGGTGAGGAGCGGGAAGCTGAAAGCGTGGGAGCCCAGGTAGTGGAGGATGCGCTGGCTGGAAAGTGGGAGCCAGAGGGCCACCAGCTCAGGGACCACCTGCCAGGGGGCCGAGTAGTTGGCGAAGAGGCCACAGTCCCAGGAGGAGCGGATGCTGGGAGAGAGACGGCCAGAGGAGGGCCAGGATCAGTGCCGCGGCGAGGAGCTGCCGGCCCGGCCGCCTCGGGCCGTCTGCTCCGCTCACCTGCTGACCACATAGCCCAGGGGCGCGGTGGCCAGGAGCAGGCCCAGGAGGAGCACCAGCTGGAAGAAGAAGATGGAGCTGGAGGCGCGGAATCGCCGAGGGGACGCCCTGGAGTTCCTCAGCAGGGTGTACTGGGGGGAGGGGGAACAAGGACACAGGGGGGCGTCGTCAGCGCAGTGTGCAGACCGGAAGTGACCGGTCAGCATAGTCCGCAGACCGGAAGTGACTGGCCGGACAGCCGCAGGATGTGAAGGCTGCCCTGCAGGTGGCGCTCAAGGCGCCCACGCAGGTGCAACCCTGCACCCTCCCGCCCCCCGGGCCCTCACCTTTTTGATGTAGAAGGTGAGGAAGATGAAGACGCTGTTGAGCAGCGGCAGCAGGGGGCAGTAGAAGAGGCCCATCCAGGTGACTGTCTGCCCCTCCACGATGTCCAGCACGTTCTTGGGCACCAGGAACTCCTCTCGGTCCAGCCAAACCCAGAACCGGCCTGAGAACCGCTCCACCAACATCCTGGGGGAGGGAGGGAACAGGTCCCCGCCACCCGGGAGGAGTGTGTGGACCTCGCTGGTCTGGGCCCTGGACTGTTGCACACACGCAGTCACACGGGACACATGAGTGTAGAACTGCTCACAGCCTTGGCCGTGGCCACTGGCCAGACCCCAGACAGGCCCACACCGCCCCCATGGTGTCCCCACGTGGCTCACCTCCTAGGCAGGCTGACAAGGAAGGCGAAGGCCACGGTGAGAAGAAAGTTGAAGATGCTGAGTTTGTATAGCTCCTCCCCCACGGAGTTCTCCCAGCACTGGTCAGAGGGTGCATCTGTCACTACCCTTGGTCCCCAACCACCCCTTGCCCACCCGATGGGGGGACCCCGAAGTGTAGGAGCTGCGCCTGGAGTCTGATATGATTGGCTAAGTTAAAATCCAGACCTGGAGAATAAGACGAGCAACCAGTCGGAGCTGCCTCCTCTGCACAGGGCAGTGTGATGCAAATCGCACTCCCTGGAAGTGACTGCCCGAGTGCTTGGCTCTGCCCACAGCCTCTCACAAAGGTGAGACCAGAGAGGGGCAAGGAGATCAGAGAGGTGGGCTTTGCAGAGGACAAAGGGAGAGGCCCGGATGGAGCCACCAGCCACCTGGTAGTCACAGGCGTTGTAGCCGTAGGACTCACAGCTGGTCTTGTTTCTGCCGATGCACAGCACAGTCTGGCCCAGTGAGAAGGAGAACATTCCCAGGCTGGCCAGCTTGAGCACCACGCACCTGGGGGTTGGGGTGGGGGTGTGTCAGGGGAGGAGCCCAGGTACAGGGCACATCTACCCAGGACACAGGTGTGGCTGACATCTGCACAACCTCAAGTTTTTTCCTGGGACCGGCCCCCTCTAAACCCAGGGCCCAGCTTCCTTCCAACCTGCTCCATTTGTGGCAATGTTTCCTAAAGTGTGTTCCACAGACAACTCCCAGGAGAATGGTTCTGTTTAGATCAGTATGGGAAACAGTGCATGGTCTCAGCCATCCTTCCCACAACACCCAGCTTGGAGAGTCACAGGAGGCACATACGGCCCTTTATATCATTAATGCAGGTGAGATCATTCTTCTAAGGCCTATTCCCAGGTGGCTTAGTGGGCAAATAATCTGCCTGCAATGCAGGAGACACGGGTTCAATCCCTGGGTCGGGAAGATCCCCTGGAGAAGTAAATGGCAACCCACTCCAGTATTCTTGCCTGGAGAATCCTACGGACAGAAGAGACTCTCGGGCTATAGTCCATGAGGTCGAAAAGAGTTGGATGTGACTGAGCACCCTACTTACACTGTCCATATACCACAAACGTGCGTGCATATACTCCTGAATCATATATAACTGGATCACACAAGGAGGGTGGCCCATCCCCAAACCACCACTGCATGTTGTATACAAGTGTGGGCTTCCTTTTTTTACTTTTTGTCTGCACTCTGTGACTGAACCTGCTTTAGAAGCAGGGAGTCTTAACCACTGGACCACCGGGGAAGTCTCACAAAGTGTGGACTTTGAATGCTGATGCATGGCAAGAGGCTGGTGGAAACAGCGGTTTTTCTGTTGAGGAAGGCAAGGGTGGGTAGGGGCTTATTTTTATCTTTGATCCTTTGAGCATTTTGAATTACACGTGCTATGTGTAGTCAAAGCTGTAGTTTTTTCCACAGTCATGTATGAATGTGAGAGTTGGACTATAAAGAAAGCTGAGCACCAAAGAATTGATGCTTTTGAACTGTGGTGTTGGAGAAGACTCTTGAGAGTCCCTTGGACTGCAAGGAGATCCAACCAGTCCATCCTAAAGGAAGTCAGTCTTGAATATCCATTGGAAGGACTGATGCTGAAGTTCCAATACTTGGCCACATGATACGAAGAACTGACTCATTTGAAAAGACCCTGATGCTGGGAAAGATTGAAGGCAGGAGGAGAAGGGTATGACAGAGGATGAGATGGTTGGATGGCATCACCGACTTGATGGATGTGAGTTTGAGTAAGCTCTGGGAGTTGGTGATGGACAGGGAAGCCTGGTGTGCTGCCGTCCATGGGGTCGCAAAGAGGTGGACACGACTGAGCAACTGAACTGAACTGAACTGATTACCTATGTGTATGTTTTATTACCTGTTCCAATAATAAAGTTTCAAACAAAACACAGTCTACCTTGGAGGGACTCGGAATGGGCTGTGGGCAGCTTCCGCGCCAGGGAAGGCTGAGGAAAAGCAGGCCCTGCTGATGAGGGGTGGGTGGCAGAGAACCTGAGTGGGAGTTGGGAGACTAGGGGGCCTGTGGCTGGGTCCAAGGCAGGACCCGAGTCCTGAGAGGGGAGACAGAGCAGAGCCTGGGGGTGGAGTGGGGCTTGAGTGTGAACCTGCACTCGGCAGGCATGGGGAGATTCCCTTGACTGAGACACTTGACCCTTTCAAACCTCAGTTTCCTCATCTATCCAATGGTGATGAGGATGGTCTTAACTTCACAGGTCACATGAGGGTTATCAAGGTGAGGGTTATAAACCCTCAGGGCACATGGGAGGGAGCTGTGTTCCTAGGGGGGTGACTGTGGTACTCTGTGTCCCCGAAAAAACAGTCACTGGCTTGCTTTAGATGGTGGGGATTGAAGAACCTTGGACGGGGCCCCCCAAGACTGTGTGTGAGGGTGGCTGCCTGCCCTTCCTTGCTCGGGGCCCCTAGTGCCAGGTGATAATCAAGACAGGTGCACTCACCAGATAAGGGTGAGGTTGACCTCAGTGTTGGGAGGGTAGTTCTCCAGCTGGACCAGGAAAACGAACAGCAGGGGACCCAGAAAGTTGACCAGCGCGATGACCCCAGGGGGCAGGTACTGGAGCAGCAGAAACAAGGACTCCTGTGGGGAGAAGCAGGTAAGGGGGTGCCATGGGCTGGAGGGCCCCCAGCAGCTCGCCCATCCCCTACGACCCCTTCAAGTGTTGCTCTGAGGCAGGGCAGGCATCCGGGAGCCCCCGGACTATTCCCAGTGACAGCATGGCGGTGGGGGAGCAGCCACGGGCAGAGACGGTCTGACTCGGTCGTGACCTTGGGCAAATGGCTTTACCCTCTTGGAGTCTCAGTTTCTCCTTCTGCAAAGTGGGACCGTCCCATCCCCTCCCCCAGAGCTGGCCGGGATGAAATAAATGCACGTCAGTCGCCTGGCACCTCCTTGTTGTCCTGCGAGTACTTGGTGGCCCAGAAGATGGCGCTGATGGCTCCAACCACCAGGAGCCCGATAAGGACGTTGACCCGCAGGTAGGTGAGCAGGTGGCAGGCCCTCTGAGCTCGGGTCTGCTGCTGCAGCAGCAGCAAGTGACGCCCCTCCTCCAGCTCCATCTGTCGGGAGGCAGGGCAGGGGCGGGTTAGGGCTGGCCCAGGTGGAAGGGGGAGCGGGGCCAGCAAACAGCCCCAGGTTGGTGTGTGTGGGGAGACAGGCTGCAAGCCCTAGGCAAAGTTGGGGTGACGACGGGGAGCGGGGGGACAGGCTGGTTTCATCCAGAGCCCCCCACCCCAGCACCATACAGGTCAGTGCTCACACCCCAACATGGCCCAGCACCCCACCTCCCCCAAGCTGGAAAATCTTGTGTGCACACACTGTCACATTCCCACACGCAAGCCACACACTCATACACACATTCCCATGTGCTCTCACACTCATTCACACTTACACTCACATCTCACATTCATGCACGTCCTCACGCACACCTTGAATTCATTGCTGATCTCATGCCTCTTGATGGTGGCGGCCTCCTGCCCCCGGATGCAGAAGTCCCAGGACGAGAAGACCTTGGCACTGAGAGGTGACCGGTAGTCCTGGCCCAGGAACATCTTCTGTGGCAGCCCCTTCACCATCCTGGAGGGGGCGGTGGCGGGCAGGGCTCAGCCTGGGCTCAGCCCTGCTCTGGGGTGGGCAGCCCCGGGCAGCCCCAGGGGCAGGCTCGGACCTTGGCTTGGCTGGGGAGTAGGGTGGGGATAGAGGAGTGGTGGCTCTGCCCCTGAGGTCTGCAGCTGGCAATGCAGAGTTCTGGGCCTGCAGTCTGTCTGCGGGGACTCCCCACCAGCCTGGGGGTACCACACTGAGGAGGAATGATCAGGAGAGACCCCCTGGAAAAGGGGCTCTGCTCTCACCGCCGCAGAATCCCGCAGAAGCAGAGGAGCAGGCAGGCCAGTGGGCTCAGGAGGTAGGCCAGGCGGATGCTGTATGTCGAGCTGCTCTCGGGCCCCGACCAGTACGCTCCGTAAAAGAGATAGGTGTTGTTGAAGGCCTGCGGGTGTCAGACAACGATAACGGAGCCAGGCTGTGTGCTGACTGTTTTCTTGCACATTAACCCTCACAATAACTCCATCGGGTAGAGAATAAGAATATCCTCATTTCACAGAGGCCCAGAGGGGTTAGGCAACTTGCCCAAGGACATACAGCTTGGAAGAAAAAGCCAGAACTGGAACACGGCAGTCCACACAGGAACCACTCAGTGGCTTCCAGGGATGAGGGTAGGGTGGTGCCTATCCCAGAAGCCTGGACACTTTTCACTTCTTGTCCTTCGTACTCCCACCCCACGTGGGCTCTGAGGGCTATGGGCACATGCATGGGCCTGGACGGTGCACAGTGGCCGCAGCCTCTCTCGTGACTCCGCTGCTGACCCAGACAGCCTGTCTATGAAGGACTGTCCCCCTATACGCCAGCATGCCCTTGGACGGATGGTGGTCATCTTAGACTGGGGTCTCCTGAGGCCATATCCCCAGGTCCTCCAGCCTCCCTGCTCCTTGGCCAGGACAGACTCACTCACCCTGCCGGTAAAAACATTCCAGAGTAGATTGTTGAAATTGGAAACACCGGTCTGGGGTAGGTGGTCACTACCAGGACACTGGAGAGCTGTCAAGAAGAGAGGGTCCCATAGGGGAGGGTCCCCAAGGCATAGGGGAGGCTCTGCCCCTCCTACTCCGTAGCCCCCAATCCCAGAAGGCCTGAGCAGGGTCCTGAGGGCATGTCATGCAAACGGTAAGGTCAGGGAGAGTCTCAGGGCTGGACCCAAGCAGGTTGATGCCCAGGGCTGGGACACAGAGGGTTGGGGCTGTCCCAGCACGTGAATGCTGGACCAGCCCCCAGGGTTCAGGTGGGCTCAGGGGAACTGTTCTCTCCATGGGCCGGGCACTCACTGAAGTTCAGGGCTGGTCCTGGGTCAGGGGGCTGGAGCCAGACCAGGGGCAGCAGGACGAAGCTGCTGGTCAGAAGCAGGGTCAGCAGGTTAAGTAGCAGCAGGAAGCGAAGGAAGGTGAAATAGGACTGGATTCCAGTGCCAAAGAGGCCTGCGGGGAACAGCAGGGGAGTCAGGAGGGGCCTAGCCGTGAGCCCGAGTGGTCATCCTAGGGCTGCGGGGTTAGGGCTGACCAACCCAGAAGGGGTGTGGGTGACTAGCCTCCCCAGGATCTCAGTTCGATGGCCAGTTCCGGAGGCTTGCCTAGCAGTACCTCTAACAGCCACGAGGGCGCGCCATCGTCCATCAACGTTTTGGGGGGCTGGCTCTTGGGGCAGAGGCGGATGTGTGACCTCAAAGCCACGTGATTGGGGGTGACTGGTGGGGGAAACGGTGCAACGGCAAGGGGGGTGGTGATGCCCTCTTCTGGTTTCTAAACTAGACGCTGAGACTCCAGAGAGGGGAAGAGGGAGGTGGGGATTGGGGTTCAGGTCATACCGCCGATCTCGTAGAGAGCCCCCTCCCAGAGCCCACAGCCCCGGGTCAGCCGCCGAACTGCCTCCCCCAGTCGCCGGCCCGCAGTCTGCCGCCTGCGACGCCATTGCTGCCAGCAGGAGGTCTTCACTCCCTCGGGCTCCCGCAGCTGCCTGGGATGGGGTGGTGATGGGGAGCGGGGTGCCCTGAGTCAGCCAGCATGCCCACCTGTCCAGGCAGAGCAGCACCCTGGGCCAAACAGTTTCCAGGGCTGCTGCTTCCATCCCGCCCCCGTCCAACAGGTGCATTCCCCCACCCCACCCCCACCGCTCGGCCTCCGCTGTGTTCTGCAGGGTTCGCCGGCACACACCGGATAAAACGCTTGTCCACCATGGCATAGGGCAGCACCCGCACCGGCTGCTGGGAGAGGCACAGCCGCGCCATCTCCTGCTCCCATAGCTCCTCGCCCCCTGGCTCGGCTTCTGGCTCCCCGGGGGCCTGCACCGACCACTGCCTCTGCATCTCTGCGGTGGGGTGGAAGTTGGGGCAGCAATGCGCCACTTCCTGGGAGAGATGTGGGGTTGTTGTTGAGGGAGCCTCACAGTCTTGGCCCTGGCATGGTCAGTGATGAAGAGAAATCCTGTTGGAGGGGATCTGGCTCAGTGTCCAGCCACATCTCAAAGCAACATATGGCCTCAGTGTTCCCATCTGTCAAATGGGGAGAAACGAGTCCAAAGGGCTTGGAAAGATGGGATGTCACAAAGGAAGCCAAGGCCAGATGTGGCCACCGGTAAGTACGGTGGGGCCACAAGGCCAGCTCTGCCCTACTCCAATCTGCTCCCAGGGGCCACAGGCCTTCACCAGCACCCTTTGGCAAGAGACAAGTCCACGTGCTGATTCTCCCACTGGGACCGAAATAGTTCCGGCCCCGAACCCCAACAGTTCCCAGGATTCAGCATTTGCAGCAGCACCTCGAATCTGGAACTGCTGGGACCTCCTCTGTCTTCTACCTGGTGGTCCAGCTGGTGGTCGAGCTCCCGGGACTGGGTCCGCCAGGGTTCCCCATGGAACCCAGATGGGGGTGCGTGGCTACAGCACCAGCGGTGGGAAAGGGAGGAAGGAAGGGGCCCCTCGACGCTCAGCTGCCGTTCTCACCCCTCCCCCGGCCAACCACCAGCAGCTTCTGGGCCTCAATTCTCTCTCCCATTCCTCTGACGATCCGCCTCCTCACCCCCCTCCCCCAGCTCTGAACTCACTCACCTGGGGCCCAGAGACCAAGTCCCGGGAGGAGACCGTCCTCCGACCGGCTCCCGCCACGCCGGGCAGGGCTGCGAGAGAGTCGAGGGGAGGGGGTCACATGACAGGAACCGTAGCTCCCCACCCTCTGGTCGCCGCCTCTCCCCTCCGTACTCTTTTCTCCCCGACCTCTGGCAGTTTCTCCTCTCTGCACCGAGGCCCGCACTTCCTGCGGGGGCGCAGGGCGCGGGCGGGCAGGTGAGAGGCGCCGCGGCTGGGCGCTGCCCTGGGGTCCGGCCCTGCACCTCCCCACCGGGCACCCGGGCTGGCGACACGGCGTCTGGGTCCAGGGTCTGACCCCGCAGGGCTGCGGGCCGCGGGCTGCGAGCCCCGCCCCTTATCCGCCGGGAGCCCCTGCGGGCTGCGCTGGGCTCGCAAGGCGGGAGAGTACAAAAACTTGGTGGGTGGGTCCCATCACTTGGAGCTGCCCTCCCTGGCGTATTTCTCAACATCCCGCCTCCCGTCATTGGCACTTGAGCCGAGTCGGCCCGGCGCCTGGCCTATAGGAAGCGCTCAGGAGCCGGCTCCACTCACGTCCCGCCCCAGCGACTTATTTCAGAGCCCTCTTGGCCGCTTTCTGTCTGCTGGGACGCCGTGGGAGGCCCCGCCATCCTGCCTTTGCTTTTTCTCCCTCTCCACCTCCTTCAGGGCCCTGTCATCTCTAATGAGCTCCAGTGGTTTTTCTGCCTCTCTGCCCGGTCCCCTTCCTGGTTTTCCAGACCCCTCCTCTATGCCGCAGGCTGCGTGCTGGTGCTGGGCACAGAGTGAGCACAGAGAGGGGCCCTAGAACCGGGGACGGACTGGCAAATGTACATGTCAATAGAAAGTGCCACATGCTCCAACAGGGCTCAATCCCAGAAGGCTCCATGGAGGAGGTGACTTTCAAGTTGGGCCTGGGATCATGCAAATACAGCAAGCTGGAGCTTGCCTGGGGTGGGGGGAGGCGGGAGTAGTGTTGGCCGGGAGAGGCAGGGACTGGGCAGGGCTGATTCTCCATGCTGAGGTGCTTGTGCCAAGACCCAGCCTGAGGTAATGACTCTGTGTGGACATCCTGGCTTGGCCCACCTGTCCTCCCCTCCAGGAGGGCCTTCTTCCTTTCTGCCTTCCAGCTCGCTTTCGCTGCCCACCTTCCCAGGCTTCTCCCAGCCAGGAATGGCTCCCACCACTGTCCAGAGCCCACCCTTTTCTCAAACCCAAGGGACTCTCCACTGGCCCCCCTCCCGGACTCTCTCGAGGTCAGATTTCTAGGTAGAGAGCTCCTGGGTGGACAAGGTTCAGGTCGTGGTGGATGACCCCCCGGAGGCTGACTGAGCACTCAGCACTCATCTCTGAACTAGGGTCACCGGTGCCCTCCACCCTGCCTTGTGGGGGAATAACTGAGCAAACAGTAATGGGGACAATCCCCACCTAGCACACAGGAAGTGTGCCGGAACTCGGCGGGAGAAACAGCAGAAGCCACGCCCAGACTGGGGCGGTGATAACCCCCAGGTTCCACCGGACAGTTTGCGGGGAGTTGCTGGAGCCTGTGCCGGAAGGGGTTACCCAATCTGGTGTGGCAGGGCCGGCCACTATTCCTGTGGTTTTGCTGCCTGGTGTTATTTTGATCATCGCTCTCAGAAGCGGGCAGGTCTACGATTACTGTCCCCATTTGAAACTTGGGGAAACTGAGTCCCTCAGAAATTGGCTTCAACCAGAGACTAGAAGGCTTCTAGATACTCGGCCGCCTTCATCCTGCACAGACCTCAGGGTGGGTGAGGATAAGGGTCGGAAGCTGGCGGGGAGAGGGCACAGTTCGCAGAGGGCTCGATGGGCAGAAGAAGAAGCGGGGCGCCCCCCCCCAACCCCGCCGCCAGGTCACGTGACTTTTCGGAGGCGGGTCACCACGTGGGCCGGGCGGGGCGGCGCAGCTCTCTCTGGCTCCGCCAGGCCTGCCTCGGTCTCGGGTCGCCCCGATGTCCTCGTCCACTCGCTCCCTCTGACGTCTCGGTCCCTCCCGCAGTTGGTGGAGTCTGAACACAGTTCCCGGCGGCCCTTGCTGGGAAGGGGCGGGGGACAGGTGAGTGGCCGCTCGCCCCCGCTCTCCAGCGCCTCCCAGGTAAGCGGCCAGGATGGGGTACCCTGGTCGGGCAGGGCTGTAGCTCCGGGGCTTGGGGGTGGTCCCGCTCCCTTCCAGCCCCATCCAGTTTCCCTAAGGCCACCAGCTCCACCCCCTCCAAGTTCCTTTGGGACTCTGGGACCACTGGGCACTGAGTTCCCTCTCGGGGTTCTTCTGGATCTCCCTGAGTTTGACCCTCCGGAGGGTCCCGCTGGGGGACCGACTGATCCCACTGCACCCCGCCCCTCCCCCACCCCTCCCCCCGCCCCCGCCCCTGCAGGTGCTTCAGGGGGAGGGCGGTGGTGTTTATTTCTCCGGAAGGGAGGGGGTAGAGGCTCCAGTACGTACCACTAGTCACCACTTGTCGAAAGTGAGGGGGTGGGAGACTGGCAGATGAGGGGTCCTGGGGCTCTCAGAGCTGCTGCCGCCACTGGGCTCAGAGGTGTGGCTGCCACTCTGCCTTGATGGTAGCTGCCCCCAGAGGACTCGCTTCCGGCTGGGGTGGAGTTTCTGGAAACTGGGCCCGGCTCTGCACCTCCCTACCCAGCTCAGGGCTCAGCAATGGTGCGCCCCGGAAACTCCTGCCCGACTTGTCCCCAGCTGGGCAAGGGTCCCAGGGCCCTGGGTACCAGCCAGGCAGCAGTCCAAGGCAGTGCCCAGATGCCAGTGCCCAGGTGACCCCCAGCCCCCACGCAGCCTCTGAGCACCACCCACCCGCCCTGCTCCTCCCTCCTGGAGAAGGGGTGTGTGGGAGAGGCCTGTAGCTCAGAACATGGGAAGGTCTGTCTTTCCTGGAAGGAATTCCCGCTCTAGACTGTGGGGGCACACCCTCAGCCCCAGCTCCAGCCACTTTTCCTTTCAGGCAGAGTCAAGAGTCCACCTCCGACCTCTTGTTGGTTTCTTCATACTGTGCTCCTGTGGGCGGAAAGGGGAGGGGGCTTGGACTGTGTGGGGCCTGGGCTCTGAGACTGGACACCCCCAAGCAGGGGCACTGTCTGGGCACAGCCCTAGTGGGCTGGACATCCCAGCCTCGCCCGAGGAAGCCCCTTGAGCTGAGCCAGCTTTCCTAAGTGCTGAGTTCCCTGGAGATAAGGGTAGGGAGAGGTGCTGGGTGGGGAGAGACAGGGCAGACCCAGGGCTGGGCCCAGCCTTGCTGGGGCAGAGTCCTGCAGGCGTCAGCTGGTGGCTGGGAGCCCGCTCCCCCTGCCCCCTCCGCCCCACTCCCACGGGGTGGAGAGCCTGGACAAGGCCACCCTGGTTCTGTTGTCCGGGGTGACGGACAAAGGCTGCCTGTTTAAGGCCCAGCCCCCTCCCCAGCCAGCTGTCCAGGCCTGCCCCGAGGTGATGGAATGTAAGGAACTCTCAGGAGGGCTGTTGACCTTGACGGGCCCAGCTTGGCACCGAGTGACCGCCGTGGAGGGGGACGCAGGGTGGGGTGCAGCTGAGGCCGTGCTGTCTGCTCTTCTGTCTGGCGCCCGTGAGGGGTGAGGGCCGTGCGCCCAGGCGGCTGGCTCCTGTGAGATTTCCGGTGGCAGGAAGTGCTGAGGGGTCACAGGTGGGCACAGGAAAGGCTCCAGCTGTCCTGACCTTTCTCCCCAAGAGGGGTCCCCCCCTCCCAAGAGGGGGGCTCCCCGGGTCAGAGCCTTAGGCTGGAGAACCGTATCCACAGGTCCCCACCCGCCCGTCCTCTTGCAGGAATGGCGCCACGGAGGAAACCGGTGGGGAACTGCCCAGACTCCCTTCCCTTCCTTCCTCCCCTCCGGTGGCGGAGGGGTCTCCCTGTCAGTCCGTTCCGGCCTGCGGTTTATCTCGGGCCACTCGCTGGTGCTTCTCAGGTGGCGCTAGTGGTAAAGAACCCGCCTGCCAATGCAGGAGGCCTGAGAGATGCAGGTTCACTCCCTGGGTTGGGAAGATCCTCTGGAGGAGGGTATGGTAACCCACCCCAGTATTCTTTGGGTTTGTCTGGTCGCTAAGATGGCAAAGAATCCGCCTGCAGTGTGGGAGACCTGGATTTGATCCCTGGGTTGGGAAGGTCCCCTGGAGAAGGAAATGGCCACCTACCCCAGTATTCTTGCCTGGAGAATTCCATGGACAGAGGAGCCTGGTGGGCTACGGTCCACGGGGGTCACAAAGAGTGGGACACGACTGAATGACTAACAAACACTGGACCGTGTGTTTCGTGTTTGTCTGTGGATGGGGGCAGGGTGGGGGCTCAGGCAGCCCAGGCCGGGAGAGGCCCCTCCCACGGCCCCCAGGGAGCGGGTGTAGGGGCTGAGTGCCAGGCTCACTTTGCTGTATCGCTTCCTGTCTCATCAGATGGGCAGTGGGAGGTTCTGGAGGCCGTGTCCAGGCTCTGAACTGCGTTAGGTCTGTGGACTGGCTGGCAGTGGGCTGCAGACATGTCCCAGTCGCCGGCCTTTGTCCTCAATGTCCTCGAGACCCCAGAGGACCCAGAGGGGTAAGTGCTCTGGGATGGGGCTGGGGGCCTGGATGTGTCACCCCCAGGGAGAGATGGGCTGGACCTCAGCCCTTTGGAAGGGGCGAGGACTGGGTCAGCAGCGGCCTGACCTCCCCGCCACATCCCCTGTTCTGGACCCAGCAGCCAAGAGCCCAGCCCCTATGATGAGAGCGAAGTGCATGACTCCTTCCACCAGCTCATCCAGGAGCAGAGCCGCTGGGTGGCCCAGGAGGGGCTGGAGCTGCAGCAGAGACAGCCGGAGACTGGCGCCCTGGGGGCCTCAGGTGAGCCCACCTGGCCAGGGCACTGAGCCTCTCACCCTGTCAGGAAGTCCCTCCTAGCAGCCTGGGGAGGGGTCTGGGCGGGGGAGATCTCCGGCCAGCAGGATCTGTAGAACCTCTGGACAAGTCTTAACTTTGCTGGATAGGCAGCGACCACGAGACTCTGCCGGGGCCTGAGGGTGCCCCCGTCTACAGCATGGCCACGCTCCGCATCTTGGCCAGCATGCCCAGTCGCACCATCGGTGAGCTAGACCCTCTCCCTTCGGACCCTGGGCCGGGCTGGGGTTTCCGGCTGAAGATCTACAGATCCCAGAGCTGGGCCGCTTCGGCTCCCACTCCACCCTGTCTGCTGCCTGGAGGCCCAGCCTCGCCGGGTTCTAAAAAAATGACTCCAGAGTCATCATGGGGATAAAAATAGGCTCTTGGGAACTGGTGGAGCTTGAGGTCTCTTATGAAGGGACTTTCCTGGGTCCTGGGAAGCAGTGTGTGTGCGGGGGGTGGTCCCTGCCTGCTCGTGAGGGGAGCGCATCCCTCCGCTGACCTGTGGCCTCCGCAGGCCGGAGCCGTGGCGCCATCATCTCCCAGTACTACAGCCGCACGATGAAGCTGCGCCGCAGGGCCGGCCGGCCGCAGCTCAGGGACATGGGCCGCTCAGCCCGGCCCAGCCTCCGCCTGTATGACCTGGAGCTGGACTCTGCGGTCCTGGAGGAGGAGGGTGAGTGGGGGGGCGGGGCCTCGCTGGGGAGGACATCTGCTGGCGGGTTGGGGGTCTGGGGTGCAGCGGGCTGCCTGAGGGTCCCCTGGAGTGAGGTCCCTTGGCAGGAGGGCAGGAGGGTCTTGGTGTCCCGGCCGCTGGGACAGAGACGCGCGGGCCTGTCCGGCTGCACAGCATTTGACTGCAGCCAGGCGCTCTCCAGTGTCTGTTGAGCATTTGTGGTGTCACAGACGCTGGTACTGGCTTTGGGATGTAATGGTGGTGAGCACACCCATTCAGTTCTCGTGCAGTTTAACGTCTGGCGAAACAGGCACCAAATAAATGGATTAGCGACGGTTAAAGCTCAGATTGAGATAAGATGAGATGGCTGGGTGGTGCAGCTGATGCGATGGACATGAACATGGGCATACTTTGGGAGATGGTGAGGGACAGGGAGGCCTGGTGTGCTGCGGTCCACGGGGTCACAAAGAGTTGGACACAACCCGGTGACTGAACAACAACAAAGCTCAGATAAGGGCAGCTGAAGAAAGGTGCACGGCAGGAGAGCGTTGCAGAACCCATCTAGCCTAGAGGAATCCAGGGAGGCTTCCTGGAGGAAGTGACACTAAGCTGATGGGGGCATGTGCAAAGGCCCTGGGGTGGGAGCCTCCTGACTTCCCTGAGCATCTAGGAGGCTGGTGTGGAGGAGTTGGGGAACAAGAGAGAATAGCTGCAGGAAGGAGCAGGGCCCAGTGCACAGGTCAGTCTTCAACCAAGTGATCTCTGGCAGCAGCGCCCAGGGCCTTGGGCACTTCCTGGGGCCCTCCTGTGTTTCCCCTCCCTGTTTACCCAAGGTCCCCAGCTGGTGGGTGACGGAGCAGTGCAGGGTGATGTGAGCTCTGGGGTCAGGGTGAACATTCCAGTTTTATTGTGCGAACCAGGCCAGGTGTCTGCTTTCTGGTCATTTCTTATCTGGAAAGAGAAGTTAAAATAGCACCCCTTTTCCAGGGTGGGTGTGGGGATGAAAGGAGAGAGGACCAGTGGTGGGCAGATCTCCAGACCCCGCCTTCCCCTACTGAC